AGCCCAAAGTTCCTAAACATACAGGGTTAGATACATCATTGCTCTGCCACGTTGCTACTGCTGGGACTGCTGCTGCTGCTACTGGTGTGTGTGTGTGTGTGTGTGTGTGTGTGTGTGTGTGTGCGCGCGTGCGCGCATGCTTTAAATCATAAAAGTCCTGGCTAAAGAAGAAATTGTAAGGATCTTCAATAGTCCTATTCACTTGGCTAAATGTCCAAACAGCCGGTTAGATGCGAAGCACTGATTTTTCATTCGGCAAATTTGTACATTTCCATACTCAGCTAAGGCTCTTGATTGGCCTGTCAGGCAACCAATCAGCTTCCAGGGAGAAGGTTCCCCTTCACACTGTGATTGGCTGAGAAACCACACACTGAGGTCCCCCCACCATTGTTGCCACCAAGCTGCCCTTACCACACCCCAGGGATGCAAAGGATTGAAAAGGCCAACCTAAGGAGGATGCCTAGGGCACAGAGGTAGGCAGCGGAGCCTGCAAATTAAGACACAAGATCAGAAATACAGGGTTGAGGCCCGGCAGAGGAAAAGACAAATGGGGTCACTAGGCCTGTGTGCCAGGGCCACCAGCTAGCCATGATACCCTGTTATGAACTGAATTGGGTCCCCCAAATTCATAGGTTGAAATTCCAATGCCCAGGACCTCAGAATGTGACCCTACTTGGAGACAGGGCCTCTAAAAAGATCATTAAGATTAAATGAGAACATCAGAATGGGCCTTAGTCCAGTGTGACTGGTGTCCTTATAAGAAAGGGAAATTTGGACACAGATGCATACAGAGGGGAGACCACATGAAGACACGGGGAGAAGATGGCCATCTATAAGCCAAGGAGAAAGGCTTGGAGGAAAACTACCCTCTGACTCTGATACCCAGAACTGGGACTTCTAGTCTCCAGAGCAGAGGAACAACACGTTTCTGTTGTGCAAGCCACCGAGTCTGTGGCGTCCTGTTGTGGCCACTACACCAAACTGATACACCCAGCAAGTCCTAACCTTCCCGAGTCTCAGTCTCTACAACTGAAAAATGGGACACCTGGCCTGCCCACCTCACAGGTTTGCCACAGGGAGCAAATAAGGTGGGACGTGGGGGAGCTTTGCAAATTATACGGAGTTCTACAGATGACATTGAGAGATCTAACTTAGCTCTCAAAGCCGGGTCCCAGGGTCCTGGGCAGCAAAGCAGATAAAGTCAGAAGACCCTGGAGACTGTGGGGTCACAGGTGGAGGTGTAGGGGCTGGAAGAGCGCCTTGACAATCCCTGGCTCCAAACCTCTGGGGAAGGGAGGGGAGCTGCCCTCCTCCACAGTTATTTAGTGGATGTGGGAGAAACAGAACTTGCGTGGGAGAAGGGAAAGAGAACAGAACAGAAACCAGAGATTTCTAAGAAATTAAAAGCCAAAAAAAAAAAAAAAAAAAAAAAAATCCACATTTAAGTCCCTGGGAGTTTTCTGGATAAAAACAATTCATTTCATTTGTATGGTATTCTGCAGGCCATAAAATGTTTGGTGGCAGTAGAGGGTTTTTTTTAACCTATTTAAGGTCAGGAATCCCTCTGACAATCTAACAAAACCTACCCACCCTCTCCTCGGAAAAAACTAATGTAGGCACTGCCCAACATCTAAAACATTACATACCAGCATGGTCCTATCCTGCAAGGATGAACAAGATCTGAATCGTCCAATATGGCAGCCAAGACTCATGTGGCTATCGAGGACTTGAAATGTGAGTAGTGGGGCTGACAAATTGAATTTTTAATCATTTTATTTTAGTAATTCTAAGTTAAATATCCATCTATGGCTAGTGGCTTCTGTATTGGACAGTGCAGTTATACACTATTTCAGGGGGTTTATAAGCACTCTGCAGTTCACCCAGTGGCCGTTGCCAATGGACCAGGCCAAAGGAACCACTTGTAATGAGTACACTGTCTTCACGATAATTACCTTTTTTTGAGCTTACCAGAACATGTATCATCTAATTTAATCCTGTCAACAACCTTAGAGGTAGAACTGTTACCCCCGTCTTATAGGTGTGGTTATTGATGCCCTGAGAAAACCCTCAACTTGCTCAAAGTCTCATGTTGAGGCCACAGTGAAGGATTTGGGACTAAAACACAGGAGTCTGATGTCAGAACTCAGGCTCTTTCCTGACTCCCGAAAACCTATTGATAGGGTTTTATGAATTGAGGCCCAAACTCCCACCTGAGACCTTAATGGAAATTATTTCTAGTCACCCAAAGAACTTTAAATTATGTTCTTTAAAGTTATTGAACTTTATGAAACTCTTGAAAGTTATGAACTTTAAATTATATCTTTAAAGTTATAAGCAAGGGCTTCTCTTCTTCTTGAAGCCTCCAGCAGGAGCTGAACTGAGACCAACCTGACCTTGATAACAGAATGTTTTTCCATTAAGTTTCATCTCTGTCCTTCCCTTGAGAGTACAGATTCCTGTTCTCCATTCCACCTTCAGGATTCCCAAGGCCAAAGTGAGCACGATGCCAGTGAAGAAGTCAGGCTTCTCTGTGCCAGACTTCAGTTATCACAGACCATCTCCCAAATAAAGAGTCTGCAAACTTCATACTGGGTTTGCACTCTCTCCAACTTCCTGATGAAGAAGGCTCCTCCCCTAAGCCAAGAAATCCCAAGCACAGCACCGCACACAGAGCATGGCACCCACACGGGTCCACATTGTACTGGTCATCCTTTACAGCTGCCTTCAGGTTTTCATGGTAATCAGGTCACATGGAGGAAAAACACTCAGAATTGTATAAAACTCACTCTCATCCTGCATTTTGTATCTCCACTCACTTCTAAACTCTAGAAATTCCCCTCACTGACAGGCATATTCAGATTCATTTTATCAACGTAGAATTCTACTTTTGCCAATTCTTCCTCAAAAAAACAAAACAAAACAAAAACAAAAACACACCTCCTTCATGGCCCAGCCTGTATGTCATGAAAACATCTAAGCTCCAGGACTCCACAGTGCTAGATATGTTGCTTGTATATCTACATAGTATTTTTCTATCATGCCTTGTATTGTGCCTTGAAAATGAGATTTTTAACCACATTTAACACAGTGCTTAACCAGACACAGACACTCGGTAGGCCACTGGTTCCCATCCTCATTAAAACACAGACTTCTGGGCCCCACCCCAGAGTTGCCCATTCATCAGGTCCTCAGTGAGGCCCTTGAATCTGCATTTCTAACAATCCTAATTTATACTAATGTTACTGGTTCAGAGTCTGTACTTGGAGAATGACTGCAAGGGATGTTTGTGGAGAGAATAAATGAACGAAGATTTCCCTCAAGCATTCTATCCTCAAGGGCTCCAAAAATGAGCTTCAGAAAAATCAAGATAAAACCTGTTACCAACATTTACTTCTGGATGAGGAGAAAAAATAGAAACAACAGGGGGGAAAAATGGCAAAAAAACAGCAGAGAACCAGAAGAAGGAGCACTTAGAATAGATACCAGAAAAACTTTCAGGTTACCATCTGGCTTCCTCTTAGCCACTACTGTGTAACTTATTATGCTCAGACCATAATTAAAAATATTACGATTATACCAAATTAAAAATAGACTCATTTTTCTGACTCGACTGTATATTTAAAAATATTCTGGAGAAACACTTTGACTCAGGAAGTCCAAGCCTAGAAAATTTCTCATAAGAAAAAAAAATTACGGAAATGAATATAAAAATGATTACAAGGAGGATCACTAAAGCTCTGTTTATAATAACTAGAAATCTGAAACAACTTAAATATTTAAGAAAAGGAATTAGATTCAGTAAATTATGATACATCCATAAATGGAATACTATAAAGTCTTTCAAACTGTCCCTACAGGGAATATTTATTGACATAGAAAGAGATGCATAGTATAAAGCATGAAAAAATTTTAAGTTAAAAAATGGTATAAACAGTAAGATCTAACTCTGGATAAAAATCATGTACAGACATAGAGAAGTAGATAAAATATAAATAAATATAGCCAGAGTGATATTAGAACTGGGGGGTTAGAATTGAATTATTTGTTTATTTATTTTTTTATTTTTATTTACTTTTGAGAAAGAGAGACAGAGTTCAAGCACAGGAGGGGCAGACAGAGAGGGAGACACAGAATCCCAAGCAGGCTCCAGGCTCTGAGCTGTCAGCCCAGAGCCCGATGCGGGGCTGGAACCCACGAACCGCAAGATCATGACCTGAGCGAAAGTCAGATGCTTAACTGGCAAGCCAACCAGGTGCCCCTGAAAATATTTTTAAATTTTAACTTTTGTATTTCAATAATTCCTGCAATAAATACATATTGCTCAAGTAATTTTTTTACAAGATATTAAAAAAAAAGAAAAGATAGGCTATAGGAAGTTTACACTCTCCATTTCTTCCCAGGAAGGACCAACGAGTTGAAGTTCAAGCATTTTTGTGACTTTTTTCCCAGCCCCGCTCTTCCACAAACACCACTTATGACTTGGACTCCATTTGTGAGGCATCTGCTCCGCCGAGAGATCCCTCCTCTTTCTTGGTACTTCCCGGACCTGCTCAAAGCTAATTCCCAGCTCAAAGAGCCTAACTTGGAGTAACTCCTTACTCCACCACTGGGGCATTTGCGTTAGGCAATGACCTTTACAATGGATCCACCATGACCCTGGTCACCCAGCAAACTGCCATTTTTCAGAAACCATGGCTGTCTCGCATACTGGCTTTTAATAAGGCGGGTTGCCTAGCAACCGCCAAGGAACTGGCCGGGAGGCGGAAGAAGGCACCAGCCGGAGCTATTTATGACCAAAGGGAGCCGTGCTCCGTGTGTCTGGTTGCGTTCGAGGTAACCAAATAGGAGATAACACCCAGCTATTTTTGCATCATGAAGAAAAAAACTACTTGGCTCTTGCCCAGAAGGGCAATTACCTAAAAATCTTGGCAGGCCCCATGGTATGAGAAATGGTAACTGATACGTGGGTGAAAAAAAAAAAAAAAAAAAAAATCACTGACCTTCATAAATACTGATGATATGAGGATGGTTGAGGGATGACATGATCTCAATCTCTCGTCTGATGTGAACCATGTCTTGTTCATCCTTAATTTTGTCCTTACGAATGGATTTTATAGCAACCTATAAAGTCAGGAAATGAAATGTTACTCAGAGGACTAAACAGATGCAAATCAGCCATTGGGGGAGTTTGGAAAATAAATACAGATGTTACTTGTTGGCAGAACCGACAATAACCAAAACAAAGCTTCAAAATACCCCCTGTCACGTCTTTCATTTATAGCAAAAACACCCTTCTCCTGACAACAGAAAACATCAGAGTCCAAGAGCCTGGGGTTTGGGATGCTGGGTTAGGGGGTTTTATTTTGGTCTTGTTTCCCTTGTTTTGTTGTTGTTGTTTTCCCATAAAGCAGAGGTTGCTTCACGTGGCCAAATTCGTTTACTCTAGGAATCCTGATGCTTTGAAAAAAGGAAACCGAAGAGCTCAGTTTACAGGGTATAGATGATTAAACATGGATGGGTGAAATCAGTATCACTCAGCCCCAGTGGGCAGCTGCCGCAGCAATGGCTGGTGAAAGCTTCCTTGCACGGCGCTTCTCCAGGCCAGTTCTGCTCAAATGCAGGGTTTTAAGACTCCAGCCTATGCTGTGGTTGTGCAACTGCTCAGAGGCCAAATCCTTCCTTCGTCCTTCCTCTGGCCCCGGGCACCTTCCATCTCACGTGACGTGACGTGACGAGACAAAAAGGCTCTGCTATAGAAAAATCAGGATGAAACAAAGGGAGGGACAGCCAGACTCCCTGCCTGGCCCCAGATGATCCCCGTGCCAATGTCTGCAAATGCAAACTGTAGAGGCCTGCCAGGGCCAACGCGCAGAGCAATCGCTCAAAAGAAACACATAAATAAAAAGGCATTAAATGACAACGGGAATCTAATGAGGAAAAATATGTTGGCCAGTGGATTCATCTTTGCTCCTAAACAAGTTGCTTGGTAATTTAGTTCACCCTGGCTCTAAGGGAGGCAAAAAGTACTCGGGGGGGGGGGGGGGGGGGGGAGGAAGGTGTCCGTGGGTAACAAGGAAGCTTGTTACCAACAGCCAGCTTAGTCCCTTCCAAAGTGGTCCTCCTATGATGTCAGCTCTCACCTGGACCACCCTCTCCTAGATGAAAGGCATTTAACTCATCCCTCTGGATCACAGAGACCTGAAGTACCCCGGAGAGACAGCGTCCTCATTACCAGCAGCCCATGGCCACACCTCGATTACGACAGGGGGAAGCCCTGTCAGCCTCAGCAGGAAGCTACTCACATCTGGGAACGTTTGCATCTTCTGGTTTACACCGGGTCCCCACCAGGCACTATACATGGAAACTACAATCAGCCCATCTATAATTCAATGAGAATTGGGCAGCTACTATTATTATTGCTGTTTTTGCCATTTGCTGCCCTCCCAACAAATGTCAATGGACTAGCAGGCCCACATATCTCTCCTTTGCAAAAGCCTCCCCAGCTGTAATGAAATCAGTATTCGTGTCATTACTTGGCTCTAAACTAGCGGGGATCTTATTCACTGTTTTATCTCCCGTGCTTAACTCCGCGTTGGCACGTGGCAGGCCTGAAAAACCCTTAGTGTGGGCAGGCAGGCAGGTGCTAGGTAGACAGAAGGGGAAGGAGGAGGGAGGAGAAAGGAGGGAAGGGAGGGGGAGGCAGGGGTGATGTTTGCGGTTAGGTGATGAGAACCCAGACCAGAGAAGCGACAGTGAAACCGGAGCATAAAAACAAGGACCACTCTAGTCAAACACCACCACCAAGACAGGCACACTGGGAAGATGCTTCGTTTTTCTCTGGCATCCTACTGCAAGGGCAATCGAGGAATGGACAAAGCAGACTGGAAACGCTGGACGCCCTGCTGTAAACCCAGGGAGAGGCACCGTCCTCCCCTAGACTGGGAGCAGACCCGGAGGCGGAGGCCGGATAAAAGGAGGCTGCCCAGGGATGAATGAGCCTCCAGCTTCAAGGCCCCTTTTCACCAGGGTGCCGGGCTCAAGGCCCTCCGAAAGCCCCATTCAGTATGCAGCGAGAAAAGCCTCCCTGCGCTGACGTCAAATGTAAAGATATGACTGGAAGGCTTTATTTTGTCTGAGCAGGGCCTGCGATCCTGGGAGCTTGTTCTCGGAGGAAGAAGACAGTGAGCACACACAGGCCATGGAGGATGTGGGTGGCTGTTGGACCACCTCCTGCATTCCTCCATGGACTAAAGATGGGCCAGGGGAGAAACCACCCCTTTGATTATGCAGCAGGCTGAACTTGGCCTCAAGGAGGCTCTACTGTCAAAGGACAATAGGAAGAAATTCTTTCCCCATCCAGGGTCAGGGGAGGGTAAAGACATTCTGGGGGGTAAGAAAATAAGCCCACTGGTCAGCTCCCCCCAACAGTGGGGCAGGAGGCCGACTGTCTCACAGTGCCGTTTGCCAGGGGGATGTTTCCAGCCCAGTATGAAAAGGAAAGTGCTCACATTCTAACAAAACCCCACTCAGCACTGAGGAAACTAAAAGGGCTCCATAAATGTTAATAACCATGGTGGTTGTCCCTCCACCAAAGTTTCCCTCTTCCTACAATGAATCTTCTATTGAAAATGTAAAAGAGGGCTCATTCTGCCCCCTCTTTCAAAGGGTTGGTGGGAAGTCCATCGAAGAAGGCGGGCTAGAAATCACTTAGAACCATGCAATTGTCAAGGCCAGGGGGAGACTCTCATTTCAACTCCCAAGGGCAGTGAGATGACCCACCCAAGGTCGCAGAGCCAGTTAATGGCAAACCACGGACACAGTAACAACCAGTGTAATAACAGCAGGTGGTCGTGGAGCACTTCCTATACGGTGCAGACGTTGTGCCAAGTGCTCTACGCGTCACGGATCTTTACATCCTTATTCAGGCTTCAGCTCCAGGATCCCTTAGGGAAACCCTCCCTCTGACCCCTTTAGGGGATGAGGCAGCTCCTGGCCACCTCCCTCTCTCCACACCTTTCCCTACTTCATCTTCGTGGGGACATTCTGCACCCTCTGAAATGCTTCTTGGTTTGCTGCATATTCAGCCTGTGACCAAATCCAGCTCATGGCCTGTTTCTGTAGGACCCAGAAAGCTAAGAATGGTTGTCACAATTTTAAAGAGTTGTTTATAAAAGGAGAAAGAGATCTCTAAGTGTGGTTCCTGTAACTTAAGGTGGTGCCTGCTTCATGAAGTCGAAGGATAACCTGAGCCAGCACAAGGCAAAGCCGTGTTGTGTAATGGTCAGGAACATGGCTTTGAGTCCGGGCTAAAACCACTCATTAGCTGTGTGACCTTGGAGAGGTGACATAACCTTTCTGTGCTCCAGTTTCCTCATCCATCAAGTAGGGAAAGAAGGGGACCTGCCTCACAGGTACCCTGTGAGGATGAAACGTCAGGTGTTTGGAACATGCCTGGCCCAGGATAAGTGTTCAGTAAATGGCAGCATGTTTAACCTGAAGAGACTGCCCCCTATATAGGGCCTTCCTGCTTTCCTTCCTTTCATTCTTGGAGCACACTTGAATTCCTCCTGGTTCCTCATGGGCCAGCAAGTAAAGGCCTAGGGAACATATGTTCCCCAAGTACATAAAAGTCAGGAGAATCTCTCTCCAGGTCGTTAAACTGTACCCTCCTCTGACATGTCTGGAAGCCCAGAGCAGCTGGGGCTCACCCACCATGATCACCATGGCATCTGAGCCTGAGACCAGACAGAAGGATAAAGCAACCCCAGGACTATTCCCCCCCGCCCCCATCTCCTTCTTATGGTCACCTGTGCAGGTGACCAGGGGAATAGAATGGCCTAGAATGAGGCCAGAAGATGGCCTCAAGACATCCACTTCAGCCTCTCTGCATTTGGACTGCACTTACTCCTTTTGGGTACCTACCAGGCACCAGGCACAGTGCTGGGACTACACAAAAGGGAAAACCAGCAAGATTCTGCCCCAGCCCTCAAGGTTGGGGTGGGGGGTGGGGAGCAGAGGAGGGGAAGGACAAGGGCAACGAGCAAAAATTACACAAGTGATCACGCAATTTTCCTCGTGACCTAAGGCTACCAAAGAAATACGCACGGGTGCCAGAATTCTGGAGAAAACCTCTCCAGTTTCCCTCAGTCCTCGCCCACATCGACAAAGAAAGATAGAGGTGGGGAAAGGGCCCAGCAGGAAGAGATTACCAAATGTCTGAAACCATACACCCTCCCCCCAAAACATCCAATTTGTTCCTGCACGAGCCAGAGAGATGTCACTCCGCCTTCAGAGTGACGGGAACTCACGCACAGTACAACCACTTTCATAAATGTTCCCAAGTCTAGACAGCACCGTGTGCCTTATAAAACGGTCTGCCTTTAAATAAGGCCACCCTATAGTTTAATGTTTAAACCGTAGGCAGCAGCGGGGCTGGCTGCGGACCTGTGAATTCTGCCCTGCGGTGCCTGCCTGTTTAAGAGGCACACTGAGCCCAGCCAGTCCCCAACCCTTGTTAAATGTAACAGGCCCAGTCTCCTCTTCCATGGAGGCAGTTTTTCCTTTTTGGAATAATCACCATCAGCCACCTGTTCTACAGCCTGCTGGGTGTCCTTTGCCACAGCGGCTGCTGTGAACATTAAGAGCTTGGTCACTGGGCAGGGTTCTGGGAGGCAGACGGTGGCTGCGAAAGCCAGGCTTTTACTGACTAGCTGACCTCGTTCCGGGAGCCTGACCATCACAGATCTCAGTTTCCTCATCGGTAAAATGGGGCTAGCAAGGCCCACCTCTTGGGGCTGTTGTAAGGAGTGGGAATAACATAAGTAGAGTGCCTGGAGCACAGTAGGTGCTTTTACTGATGGTGATGACTATAAACGAGGCCTGGCAGACACAGGGTCCTGGACCATGTTTTCGGGGGGACGAACCCACAGCAAATCATCTTATAGGCCTCTCCCCTCCCCTTTCAGTACATACCTCCTCCCCTTCCCCAGATTTGTAATAAGTAAGCAAGGGCAGGTTAAAATTCACATCCAGCCTGTGCGCCTGCAGAGAGGGGGGCAGCCAGCCGTCTTCCTGTCCTGCTTTGGGGAGTGGAGGTATTTCTGGGCAGGTTCTACATTTGC